GCTTTCCTCGACAGTGGGCAGTGTTAGCTGACATAGGACCAGTCGGGATGGAAAAGAGCCACCGATGGTCGAACGAAAACATGGCTTCATCGGTCAGTGAAGTCTGTAGCAGTTAGTTTTGACCAGTCAAGTATGGAGGTGTAGACTTCTTGGTCGGAGTTTTCGCTACGGTGAACACCACTGGCTGGAGACAATTGGTGAAATGGCTCAAAATCGTCCTCAATGGTTGGAGCAGATGCATCCACTCCTTGTGACTTATAATACCCAATAAAACTATATTGTTCTTTGGTATTACTATTTTCGCCTCATATCTCTGTTTACTGTCCGTGTTTTGAATTCTGTTTACTTTCTTCTCTTGCTTTGTGTGCTACATGGAATGCGGCGGCTAAAACTGCTGCACATAGGTGCAAAGTTCTATGTTGAAATCAGTCAGTCTCTATATAGTATCAGCTCGTTAATAATCCTGTAATTAGAATGATTATTTAATTCAGATACTGTAAACTCGTTGTAGTATCGACTGCGTATGCCAGTCACATACACTTGTTCATGCCACTTTCTTATACGGTATCACACTATATTTTGCGCGTGTGCATATATATGTGTATATATTTGCATCTTTTGTCAGAGATGTGAAATATTACGAAATGTTCTGTTGCTATTGTCCAGCTGACTTTTACAAAGACCCAGAAACAGAGATTACTATCTACTTTATGTGTGTTTGTGATATTCCGCTATTACATGCATATTATTGATATGTGTAGATATAGACATGTCCGCTGATCAATAGTTGTCTGTGTGACGTCTGCATCTGTTGGTTGGCGTTGGCGGTCCAGTGTCACAATGCTTGGTGAACCAAGCAGACCTCGCCTGGCAAGCATCCATAGGTTTATTGCACTTTATTTTCCGTAATTCAGTCTTTGGTTCTTCTATAGACTACTTGAGTCGTTCTATTTGTGAAGTGATCCTTGAAACCTAGTTTGGTGACCGAAGTCCAGTGACACATACGTAAGGTTTATGGAAGAGGTGCTAATACAAGTTGTCGACATATTTTTGCTCTCAGTCGCAGCTGTTTTAGGTGGTAGTGACAAGGCAGCTCAACGCTTACTGCAGTTGGTAAGCTATACAGGCAGGTATCCATACACTTTATATTAGTGTTCTTAATGATGAATGATCTCGTGGCGTTTTGAAAAAATTTGAAGAGTCGTGACTGGTGTTTCTGTCACAGCCCCGAAGTTGAAATCTAAAAAAATCTGCTTTGTCAACAACCTGAAACAGTATGAGTGACCAACACCATTACGCAGTGTAAGGAGTCATAAACATCTCATTGAGTCTTGTGATGCTCATGACTTGTTAATCAGCCTATTGTTTGCAGACATTCTGTGTCCTTACATGGGTTTCACTTTATGCATTACTGCACTGTGGTTTGATTGCCAGAAGACTCGTGCCGTATATTCTGTCGAAGTTTGTTTGTATGTCATGCTTTGAATACCCAGAGTGCTGAGGGCTGAGCTTTAGTGTTGCCATTTGTGCTATTTTGGGTGACAGTGTTGCTACACCAGCTTTTAGCGTGATTTGGCATGGTAAGGAGCATGTTCTGTCGTGATTGTAGATGGACCGTATGGCCTTATTTCTGCTTTTGGTTAGGTTGTTAGCATAGCTTTTGCCAAGTACTGAGTTTGTAGAAGCAATGTTACCGCTGGCTGTCATCATATTTTTACTGTAAGTTCCGACCACAGTAGATGTTGGTGACACAGCAGGTCGACGCTTGCGGTGTATTTGTAAGCTTCGCGTGTCACTTTCGTATTCTGTGGGAGTAGTTTTGCTTGTTGTAGCAAGCAGATATGTGCTACCAGTCATCAGGACGACAGGTGATTGAGTTTGTGGCCTTTTTATATGGTTAGCCATAACCAATCAGTGAAAGCGTTAATCGCTACAGGTATGGAGTTACAGAGACACTTGTGCGAGTCTCGCAAGAAAGATAGATTACATGCAAAGAGTGACGCTAAAATGTAACAGAAAAGTAGAAAGTACCGCGTTTAGAATGCATCAAGGAAAAACTGTCGTGTGTATCGATTGAATTCATTCCAATGGAGAGTCTCTACGATACATATGACTTACTATAAACTCTAGCGTCAGTAAGTAGGACGTTAGTGACTAAGGAAAACAAAAGGATAAGGTGGGCAACCAGGCAAGATCCATGTCCTCCCTGTAATTTGTAAGGCTCTTTATCCCCATCTACGGTACTGAACGATGGATGCCTTTCCATCTGTTTGGCCAAGTTTCTTTTCTTTACTTGCTCACAAGTGCACTTATGATATACAAGTCCAAAATCAATTGCCGTCTTCGCTTTCTATACACGCTACCGGTTACAGTATAGGTATAGGTACCAAGGGTGGTAGAGCTGCTTTTATTTTTGGATGTTTATTAGCTTAGCGACTGTTGCAGACTTCCTACTGGGGAACATGGAGTTTAGCTGGACCGTTTGCGTTGCGCTGGGATTAGCGTCTTGATGGGATTGGTCGGAGGACAACGGTGGTCCTGACGTTTTCAGAGAAAGTAATTCTAATGATATATCTAAGTCAGTGGTCGCAGCCGCCTCGCCATTCCGTTTAATAGTCAGCAACAGAGAGTCTATCTTCAAGGGTACTTTACTATCTTCTACATCTGCACATAGCCCAGTTGCACTAAAGGTAGTAGAAACTTTAGTGAGAGGTTCTAAGGCCAGATAGATCGTGGGAACATCACACTACCTTTTGTAATGGCGTTAGATAAGGAACAAGTCAACGATGCAATTAGAAGCATACACTACATGCATCGGGTAGGTCTGTCTGATCTTCTTGAAGCTTGATTCGTTGAAAGGTAGAAGAGAACACACGTCAGAAGATACAAGATTCTCCGTTAGTTGATAGCTACTTCGTCAGGCAGATTTTATGTCGGAAAGCTGTAAGAAGGCCAGATTGGTTTTCTTACTTCTGTTGCTGTAAGATTTAGGAAGCGCTTCGATTCTACTTAGCTTTCAGATATAGTTTCATGGATCAGAACACACAGGGGCTTTAGAGGCGAAATGACATCTATTTTAAAGCTGATTTCACTTCACACCCTCCCACGGAGTTAGGATCAACTTTATTTCGCTAAGCAATGTCGTTTGGCCATGACAAGAATTTGGTGACAGTGCCTTCCGGAACATTATTACAGCTATTTGAAACGCAGCTGTACAACACAAACCATGAATACACGCATGACTTAGTGCTTACCTCGTCGCGCCTTTGGCTGTTGTAGATTAAACGGAGTTAAAATAACTAATATAAACATACCATATGTTTACTCAAATGAAGTGTCAAATAAATACAAAGACTAAAGAACTAGTGCAGAAGCGTGCCAAAATACCTGTCTCCCCTGGCTCTTTCTATTATTTTTCATTTTTTTTAAATATGAAGTTCGAAGAAGAATGCCTGAAAATCTTATGGTTATATAGTGGCTTTGTTGACAAAGACCGACTGTAGCCCCGCAGAAAACAACCTTTTGGACAAGAAGTAAGTAAGAATAGGTGAGATAAGCATTATCTAATGGAGAGGTGACCACAGACAAACTAGTCCTTTAGAACTTCAGATCAAACCGTACAATGTTGAATGTCGTATACCTGTGAAATGTCGATTTTAATTAGTTATTTACGGCTATGAAGATACACTAATGACATACAATCTTTAAAATAGTGTGTGCTTTTGGTAAAGTTTTGGGTTCTATAAAGAAATATTGAAAGATTGCATGTCAACAAACACATGCATTTTTATGCGAAGAGCATTCTAATCTAGAAGGCGCATCTCATCCACTAAAACCCATTAATTGTGAGTAGCTGATTAAAATTTCACTACGCTTTATTATATTGATTGGTCTCCACAACTGCGTTAATCATGTATACATCACTGAGAGTTCATTTATATGAACTTGAATAGGTTTTCGTTTCCTACTCGCTAAATATTTGAATCTCATTGCATTGTGTTCAGTACTGCCGACCTATAAAGAAGAAGACCAGAGATTTGTGTTCTTCGTTCGCCCGTTTGATCTGCGAAAGTCCACACTACATCCACTCATGAAACTAGATAATGCGGCTATTATGTCTGTCATTCTTTAAGTAAAAGTGTGTTATACGAGTTTCAGTAGTACCTCCAGAATGGTTACTATTTGTCACTATTCGTTTCTTACAATCCAAAACAACAGTTCGTGGCAGTTTAAGTCTCTTTGGATTCAGTTGAAGTGTTTCCACTGTCGGGCTTAGGACTCTGTCTCTATTTGCGCGAAAAAGAGCCGAGCTAGCTCATCATTCGATTTCGAAAACCGTTCATTATCATCCCACACAATAAGTGCTACTACAGGATCTGAAGGAAAGTGACAACAATAATCAACAATCCGTATTCGCTGAACAGCTGCAGAAATTATGAACAATGAATTTTGTTCGAAACATCGTCCAGTAAATAATACTGTGTGTTAAATCTAATAAACAAACTAATATGCAGTTGCGGAGAATTTAGTTTACTTTCCGGGCCTGTCAGTATATTATGATCGACTGTGTATGGTATTCATCTTTAGTAGGTAAGATAATTTTCAAGCAGTCATGAGGTGATTAGTCCAGAGGTAAATGCCCGAATACTTCGTAACACCAATTATTATGCATTTATCAGGCTCCAATGTCGTGCGCACATATCCTGCCAGTCCTTCAAGTTTCTCAATGTACACAAAATTTGTGATCTGTCAACGTGCTCAGCTTAAAACCAACATTCACTTCCGGAGGGATCATCAATAATGGTAAACTCCATTATTCTATCTTAAGGTTATTATCTATCGAGACATGCTATTGACTTGACCGTTTCCGCGATCGCTCTTCTTTGACTCCATCCAATTAAACTTACCCTGTTATTTGAGAGAAATATACAAAGATGGGCAAATGGAGATGGACAAAACATTTGTTTTCCTATCACGAGATATTATTAAAGGGTTCTAGAGGCGCCAATGTCAGTTTTGCTCGTCGCGCGCCAAATTAGTAAGTTATTATTGAGTGCCTGTGTTAAGGTTATTGTTAAGAATGCTCAAACCAACAAAACTGGTAGAATCTCCAAGCCATTTATATATAACTGTCAGCTAGTAAAGACAGAACAGAAGCAGTAACAAAAGGCGTTCGACGCATAAGGCTGGTGCAAGGGAGTAGCAACCACCAAATTATCTTTAGATAATATAATCAAGAATCCCAAATAGGGGCTATGAATAATTCTAGGTTTTTAGATAAATTACGTATTTAAATGCTTAGACTGCTTTATAGGAATATTCTGCGTCATATAAACCTCTGATCGTTCCCTAGCATTATATAATGCTAGGCCTTCATCTTAGCCCTAACTCCCAACCCTGATATAACCATTAACACTAACTGTTAACCTCAAAACAACCTATAACCTCAATCTGACCGTAACCCTAATCTGGACGTGAACCTAAAATAACTTTATTCGTAGCTAGTAACCCTAGTTTAACCGTTAGTCTTAACCCTAGGCATTAAAGGTAGGTAACTCTTCAGAAGAAAACTATAAAGACTAAAGTTACACTATATTCTTGGTTAGTAAAACAAGTGTCTGCTTAAGGTCACTTGATGACTGCCATATTTTCTTTCCAACCACTTATTCACCTGGAGTTATCAAAGTTTCCGCAGTGCATCTGTTCTCCAACCCGTTTTTATCGTGCTCCCGTAGTTGTGTATTAGTTATAGTTAGAGAGCTATAATTTATATTACAGAGATTTAAAACCTAATTCTTACACACTGTTTCGTGTACACATCACTTTCTTATATCAAGCGAACTAAGTCGTGACATCTGTAGTCATTGAATTATAAACGGAGTCTTTAAAAATGTCAGATAAATAATGCACGATCAAAGGTTTATTATATTTTCTATCTCATCTTGTGCTCTGAAGTTCTTGTAGCAATTGGATTGATTTTTTTGAGTAAGGTTGCTAGCCTCACCCCTAACCTTCCTTTCTTTCAGCTGTTAGGATCACCCACTGGGTTAGTAAACTAGGTTGTCAACGGTTTACTGGAATTTAAGTAGGGAGGTTTGTCCAACCACGTGTTTCAGCATATTCAAACTGTTTCTCATCAGTCTCCAAATTCACGATGGTGTGAAGATGGAAACGAAAACTGTATACATAAAAATTCATATATTGCTCTTTCTGCTCTTCTGCATACAACACCTGAAGACTATACAGATTAGTAATATTTCCATATGTACGACTAGGTCCCACATCATGGTCTTTCTGAAAGGCCTCTTGTCACTTGTGGATTGTCGTGATAACTGCGTGGTGCTATTAAAACATTAGATACTCGATGAATAGAGGCTCTTATGTCAACATCTGCCAAACAACTTAAACCTGTGACACCATTGCAGTGATACACATCGTCGGTTAGCTTATTTTTAAACTCCGTTATCTGGTCGTTAAAGTATATATACCATTTTTCTGATGACTTTAGGAATTAAATAACATTTCAACTTCTGACATCCCGTTGCGTTCTGCCGTCCACAGTCACCCTAGACAGCTCAGCTTCGACCTTATCTAGACGTTCTAGCACACCACACTTACTTACTTACTTACTTTACTTCGGCTATCTCCTACGGGAGGATCAGCCGGCTTCATGAACGTCTCGAATCATCGCTGCCCAGGCGCGGCAATTTGTAAGAGAGTTCATGAAGTTTCATGGGAATTTGGTACGAGTGATGTCCCCAGCATCGCTCGGCCTTTTGTTTGAGAGTGCAGCTCTAGCCTTTACACAGCCAAGTGTGACCTACAAGGCAGTAGGAGTGGAGTAAGGAGTCCACTATCCATTGGCAGCCGGTGACCGGAGTTCGGTTCATACGCCTTTTTGAATGGGGCCAGACATCCAACAAGCCCTTTGTCCATACGTCTGCCGGTGAGCTCCAGTGAGCTTCATACGCCAGTCGTTGGAGGTTTGGAATCAGGGTTTAGCCATCTCCCCTAGACCGTCATCCAATGGACAGTCAACCCGGTGGAGAGCGCCGGGCATCCGCTTTCGCCCTCTCACTTTGGTGAGAAACACCTCCGCCACGTGAAGGCAGTGAGTAGGACTTCCTCAGGAGAGGCTATGTAAGACGCCCGGTCATATGGGAGCATTTCAAGAGGTGTGCGGAGGGGTGGCCAACCCGCAGCGCAAGGCACCCACCCCCGACCATCCTGAGGCTTACAGTACTTACAGTACTAAGTCAACAGTAATGCCTATTTTCTGTTGTAGAAATTTGTCTTACTTGGGAGCAGATGACCATCCGATGCGTCGATGGGTGAAAATAGGCTGACAAGTAATTGTATTCAATGAAACATACAATTACCATAATACTTTAGGTAAAATCTCAGCGAGATTGAAATGAGTAATTCGAACGTTTCGTTCGGCAGTCTGGTCCGAACTTCTTCAGGGAAATTATTTGAAATTAACACAACATAGGTTTATATATAAAAGGAACATTTCTTGTTTAAAAAAATTTTTGTCCAACCATATGGACAATCTCGTTGAGATTTCACAAATATAATTTTTACAGATGTCTACTTCTCACTCGGCGCCCAATTATTTTAGAACTATTCTGTCAAATCTTGACGACTGTTCATATGAATTTAGGTTCCTTTGCTTGCCCCCCGCCTCCCCCCAAAAATATGTTTATCAGTTTAAAAGTCCCTATCCTCCAGAAGCTAAGATGATTCATCTAAAAATGAACTATCCAGAATTAATCCGACGACCATTTTCTTAATACCGTGAATATTAGTTATGAGTTATATTGAAACTGTTGACCTTGCTTTGACTGACTGGCTCAGTTTTGTCAAATAGTGACTGTGCAGGTGTTGTTTACCGTCACTTCATTAGGGATTGAGAAGATTTTGCTTCTAAAAGTGAAGGTTAATTAAACTGAAAACACTGAATCTTCCAGGCAACAGGAACTCAAAATGCAATGGACTTTATTCACTTCTGTGATTATAAAAATATACTGAGAAAGGAAGACTACAGTTAAATGCATTTCCAAGTGTACATATGACACGAAAATTTAACTAGTGAAGTAGAGAAATGTCACCGATTTCTGTTTCGCCTTTACTGTGGCTGGCGCATGTAAACACAAGTGAAACGATACGCGTTTGTGCTTCAAAGTTGTCTACCTGATAGGTCCTGAATCCAATGATCTATTGAAAAAAGACCTAGGTTTATGATAAAACTCTTTATTAATATGTCGTGTTAGGAAAACAAGTGTTAAATTCGTCTTTATGCATTTCTCTCATATAATTACCTTTATGTTATCGCTTGCAAATTTTAATTAAACTATACGAGGCAGTTCTACACTAGGCTATCTCACTCCTTGAAAAACGTCTTTCTCACTTTCCCACGTTGCCCATGTGAACCGAAGAAGTTAATTAGTTAGAAATCGTGGAAAATACCCATTGGGATATTAGAGGGAAAAGAACAAGAAGCTCAGCAAAGATATCTTTTCGGCCATTTCATTCTCAAAAGCTGTACGATCGCATTTATATGCATTAGTTTACATGGATACAATTATTATTTGTTTAATTCCACATAGTAACGAAGGAGATAAAAATTTTCAACTTGATATGAAAGTTTGAAGGTACGAATATAGATAACAAGAGGCTTAGAGACAAAAGTTACGCAGGGATAGAACGAATTACAGGTGTGAATATTCACACCTTTTAACTCACATTTCTAGTTGAAATATTTTGATTTCAATTTTTTTCCATGCTCATTTTGTGCATACCTGTAATTCGTTCTATCCCTGCGTAACTTTTGTTTCTAAGCCTCTTGTAACTCATGTCGAGTTGAAAATAATTATCACCTTTTATTCGCCTTAATAGTTATTTCTCCAGTTGGTTTAGGTTTCATGTTCTTTTCGAAGTGTCGGAGTACCATTTGTCCAGTTATCAAATATTAATTTTGCATACGTTGTAACTGTTTTCTAATGCTATGCAGTCTTGTGTCTAAGCCTCTTGTAATCTAAATTCGTACCTTCAAACTTTCGTATCAAGTTGAAAATTATTATCACCTTCGTTAATATGTGGAATTAAACAAATAATAATTGTATCCATGTAAACTAATGCATATAAATGCGATTGTACAGCTTTTGAAAATGGAACGGCCAAAAAGATGTGTTTGCTAAACTTCTTGTTCTTTACCCTCTAATTAGTTAGAACTCACTTAGTATTAAGCTGTAATCCACACTTATCGTGTGACGCCTGGTGATACCAGATTGAATTAATTGGTTTGGGATTCGGACCTGGGAATGACTGGCTGGCAGTGGAATGCTTACCTGACTAAGTCTTACCACGTAAAGCACCATTGCACTGCTATTTATTGCTGCAAGCAAAACACTGCAGGTTCTTCACACCGAAAACTTGATGAATTTCTGTCCAAGTCTTAGTGTAGTCACTGTCCTCCTTCTACCAAACGAGTCGTACTTTTTTCTGGTACAGTGCGTTAGAAATAAGTAATGAAAGCTTACAATTTTATAGACCAACCTATCTAATCTCCATAAAGATTATATGCTTCAATTCTATATTACTGAAGTAACTATTCTACCAAATGGAAACAAGGTGTCCATAATAATACTGTATTGTTATTATGAAGTGATATTTCCACTGAAATTTATGTGAGAAGAATAAGATATTGTTTGTTCACTTTGTGATGTTGGTACTTCTTATAAACTTTCACTTGATTGCATGAAATTTGTTTTTTATGCACTGTTGTGATTCTCGTACTTATTTTTGATTATTTCAACAAACCTGAGTAAATTGAGTTTAAATGTTTTGCTTTTTACTTATGCAGATTTTAGAATATGGATACGTCAATGGAGGATTTGTTTTCTGATTGCGATAAATCTACTGCTCCGGTTGACTCAGGTAAGTGAGCCTTATTTGAGACTTCCCATTCTCTTTTCGCTATTGATCTGTATTACATGCTATGTATCTTAACCCGGTCTCGGACGAGATATCGTCAGCGACTCTGTGAGACCATTTCCTTAATTCTTCACAATATCAGTGAATGGGTCGTACAACTAAAAGCAACAGCCAAAGCCGATTGACATGCTAAGCGCGACATAGGAGTCAGAAATCCAACTAATACGTTTAATTTAACTGCTCCTGTACATTGAGCCAGTTACATAGGACATACAATTAGACGTGTTTCTCGTCGGATTTCCGAACACCACTCTGCGTATTTAAGCAAAGGACAAACAAAATCATCTATTCACATAGCGCTATTCGAGTACATCCAAACACATAAACACTTCGGCGTCATGCTGTCACTCAGATTGACTCTTTGAAAGCATGACCTCATCAGTTAATGAAATCCACAGCAGTTAGTTTAAACCAGCCAGCAAGCCACGTAGGGAGGTGTAGGCTTCCCGACTGGTTGGTTGAGGTCCTTGGGAGATGGCAAAAACCAATTAAAGGCTGGAGGTAATCGCTGGTATGACTCAAAATCGTTCTCAATAGCTGGAGTAGATGCATCTGCTCCTTGTGATTTAGAATATTCAATAAAATTCTACTGTTCTCCCTTATTACTGTTCTTTTCCCGTCACTCATATTTCTGTTTATTATCTCTTTACTCTGTTTTCTTGCTTTGTGTGCTATATGAAGGGAGTGTGGCAACTCGAACTGCTACACATCTGTAAAAAAAGTTCGACGTTGGGACCAATCAGTTAGTCAGTCAGTCAGTAGGGCGACATTTCTACCGCTGAACTATGCATGGATTCCCCGTTTACTATTACTATTATTATTATTATCTCTCTGAGTGTTTTTAACCAAAAATAGATTTTGTTATCCTCCACTCAACATTAATTATTGTATGTGTGTGTGTGTATATATATGTGACAACAGAAGACAAGGGCCAGGCAACAGATCGTTTTATTACGAAAATCAACACATATTTATATAAATTTCACATACATTATTATAGCCTAGTCAAGTAGACAAACGCGGTCTTGTGACTGGTTGTTTTCGAGTTCCTCAGACAGTGGAGCCATCTATCTGCGAATCATATTTGCCCACGTTTAAGTTTGCTGTGATTGGTTGTTGAAACAGCCTTGTTCATATTTTCTCATGGCCCATATTAGTGACCTAGACATTGACGTAGATTAATGTCAACCAATCGGCTAGCAGGCTGCTCTCAGCAAATATACATATATTTAATGATATTCTTATTATTTGTCTATTTAAACAGAGAAGAAGAAAGAAAATACAGAGAAACAAAAACCAGTTGTATCCATAACTGAGACATTAAGAAATGAGACTATCAAAATTGAGGGTACCTATCAAACCGCTGCACAAAGTTTACAATTAACTATTGAATTACTGAAAGATTCTGTGTGAGTTAGTCAATTGTTTTTGCTTTACTTTCTTCTAGTCTTAAATGGTTATAAATTGTTGTATTATACGCATAATTTGTTGATCAGTATTATTATTATTATTATCGAAGTCATATTATCTACTCTATTATTTTAAGTAACTGGTCAGTATGCTGATAAAGGGTGATTATTACCTGCTGAGTAAACGAGGTCATTTGTCCACTTTGATTGGACATTAGTTCGTAAGTAGTGTATTGTGTGTGTGTGTGTGTGTCTAGACTGGATTCTAGGTATTTTGCCATCACGGTGCACTTTGTACTGTTGATATTAGATGGTTGGAGGTAATCGGCAGGCAGGAAGCCCAGTCTTGGACCTAGGTTTCTTGCTTGCGTCGGTGGCACAGTGGTTAGGACTCTCGCCGACCATGCACATGGTCCGGGTTCGAGCCCACGCCGACGCACACTTGATATCTATGGTCGGCCTGCGAATTTTGGGCTCCCGATATCCACGCTGAAAATTCCATACTTGTACCAGAAATACAGTGTGGAATCAAGCTGTAATCGAAAATAAATAAAATAAAATAAAAATAAATAAAATTGTTGGCACTTACTAGTCAACAATATCTGCGAGTATCTGCAACCTTGAAGGAACACATGTCCCTTCTGAAATCCTCACCCGCGTCAACCAGTGCTGTAGTCAGTCAGAGACGTTACCACTGAGCTATCCGAGTTGGTGATTGACCTCCTAAAGGACTGTAATGGTAATAGTAACTTATCACTAGCGGTGTTGGTTCAGACCAAATTCTATCAGTCAAGTTTACAATGCGGCCAAAATTTGGAAATGGTGGATTATAAAGTGAACAGATTAGATTACTATCTGTTCGTTTGTGTTCATTAAGTGTTACGTAACAACATGTCACACTGTATGTTGTACTGTGTTCAAAAACAGTCGATGGGAAAATCTGTCTAACTTACTTTATCAAGTTGTTGATTAAAAAAAATACACATAACTATATACTACTGATTCATTGAAATGAGTAGTTGTGTATACCACTCACATACACTCGTGGTGGTTTCTAGCCAAATCTAATTAATGCAAACACTGGATGACCGTTTCACTAGTTTGGAGCCGGTCTCATCATCTGTTGACTCTGGGTCCACTTAACTCAAAGAGCCGAATCAGTTCAGATACTTCGGGGCCACCTAGTGATACCATCAATCAAATTCGTGGTTTACTAATCAGTTCGATATTTCTTGCAAATTAGTAATTTATACATTTCGAGGTGATTATTTCACCACAGGTCCCTCTGGGAATCAAAATGATTTATAACTATATATACATGGACAGTATATATGGACTTCGCCGATGATATATGTCTGATTTCCCACAAACTGGAAGATATGCAAGTGAAAAGCAACAAGCTGGCAGAAGAAGCATCCTGAGAAGATAGAAATTCAGGTGAACATAGAGAAAACAGAGGTGGTGAAGACTCCTGGCGAACACCAACACCACCACCAACAACAGACAACAATCAGCCAGCATAAATGGGAGTAACCTGAAAAAAACCTCCTTTACCTGCCTACCTGGGAGGCATCGTTTCAACTACAGGCTGACGGAACTGATGAGGATATCAAAGCAACGAGGATTGGGAAAGCAAGACAAGCTTTCATTACTCTCAAGTCTGTGTGCAGGTCAACAGCCCCACTCAGCATCAAAAATAAGATCCGGATTCTCAACTCCAATATGAAGTCAGTCAGTGCTATTTAGTGTACGGATCAGAGACTTGGCGCGTCATAAAGAGCACCTCAAACAAACTACACACCTTCATTAACAGCTGTCTTCGCTCAATACTCAAGATCAGATGGCTGGCCAGAAAAGATCAGAAACAGGGATCTCTGGCAATGAGAGAACCAATCAGGAACCGATTGTGAAACAAATAGGCATGAAGAAATGGAGGTCGATTGGCCATACTCTGAGGAAACCATCAAGTGACATCACTAGGCAAACCCTCGACTGGAACCCAAAAGGTAAGCGGAGAGTTGGTCGTCCGAGGGTAACTTGGAGGAAGTCATGTGAAGAAGAGATGATAGCGTGTGGGCAGACTTGGAGCCAAGTGAAAACTCTAGCAGAGAACCGAACGTGATGGAGACGCGCGGCTGAAGCCCTATGTTCCTCTAGGAATTAAAGGAAATAATAATAATAATAACGTAACTTCCTTGATACGGTAAATGTGAGTAATATACAACTACCCACCTCAATCAACCAGCAGTGTATAGTTTTAAGCATTTTTAATTAGTTTTTCAATTATCGTGTATGCTATCAAGCAGATTACAGATTGTGATCTGAATAATCTCGATTTTCAAGGGGAACTGGTGAATCTTGCACTGTGTAAAGTGCGAATTTAATTTAAAAATTCATGTCATACTGTATCCTCTTGTGTAAGTCAACTTGTTGCTTTAGTGGTTTAAGTATAAAAACTCGGGCACTGTGGTAGAGTATAACTCCATTATGGATAAGATTTTATTTTGATAAGTCACACAGTGTTGTACAGCAATATTAACTGTTGACCACGTTTTGAGCACTAACTATTGCCACCCATAATCATATCAAGTTACTCACACAACTTTTTACTTCATTTATATACATGAGTGGAATAGACCAGATATTGGAATAAAAATCAATGTGTGATAATGTACGTTCAGAAATGACAATAATATGAGTGTTATTGGTCAATTACAATCAGATGGGAAATAAATGAGACGAGTGTTTTTATAGTCATAATAAGTTACTTGTTAGAATGTTGTGATGTGCTTGAATTGAAATAGAATTTTAAGATTATTTATAATCCCCCTCAGATTTGACTGGTGGTAATAATATCTTCCATATTTCTGGTATTTGCATTGAGTCGTTTCTGTTGCATGTGTTGCGTGTAGACTCAATGAACCGGGATTCAGTAATCAATCTCTCTCTCTACCTACATAAATTACTTTTTAGAATTTTAACCCTCTCTCACCCTATTGTATGGTTGTGTGTTAATGGTGAAGTGCAATTGCCTAGCTTTTTCTAAATTATTTATCTTCTCGGGGTCAACCATTCTTACCTTAGCCACTAAATTCTTATTTTCTGATAGGCAATCTGACTACCGCCGACCTACTAGTTTGACGTATATAGTTGACCTCACAGTCATTTCAGGGTATTTTGTAAATTATATTATGTATTATTTTGTTTAATTGGTTCCACCGGGTGATTTAGCCTACAGAGCTTGTCCTGATTTTGTGAGTTTGTAGGTTTAAATGCCACTCTAATTCCTGCTTTATTAAGGATCCTACGTAGGGTCTCAGATGTCCCCTCCTTATATGGCATAATAACAGATGACGTATATTCTCTCTTACTTACGTTATCATTACTAGTTCCCCCACAATTTGTATTTTGCTTTTGGTCTTTACTCATCTTCCTAATGAATTTTATAGAATAGTTATTTGATGCCAACGCTTCTTCTATTTGTTTTATTTCGTCATTTAAGTCTTTTCTTGTGCTACTTAGTGCTATGGCTCGGTTTGTTAGACACTTCACTAAGCTTGCCTTAACAGTTAACGGATGAGACGAATTAAAGTCTAAATATCTATTAGCGGAATGCGTTGGTTTTTTATAAACACTAGTGTGCAGTTTACCTACTTTTATTCGTCTTATTTTACAATCTAACATCACAGCTAATTCTCCTTGTTCATTTTCCGATTCAAATGTGAATTTTATTCCCTCTACTAGGGAGTTTATATGTGTCAAGAAGCTAGAGATGATAAGTTCTGTTTTAAACACTGTGAAAGTGTCATCCACATATGTCCACCATATTATCTTTGGAGTAAGATTAAATGTATTAAGTGCACTATTTTCCCAGCTGACCATAGATATGTCTGTTGCTTTAGCTATCCTCAGACAATTGGAGAATAGTGGGTTTATGGTCCAATCTGGACATTTGTGTTTGTATCAGCATCCCCCATACATTATGTGTGACTCATAACCTGATACATGAAAAATGCGTTCTGGATAAAGAAGTTTAACTTCTAACTAATGTATCAATTAAACAGAAAAATATTTGCAAAGCAGTGTGGGGAGATTGTCAAGTTAAGGGAAGTGGCTATACGAATTTCTTTGAAACATAGGGGTTTGGCTTCTTCGGGTAGATTCCGCGACAGCCTTAGCTGTTGTGTGTAGAAGATGAACTTGTAAAGTAAAATTAACAAAAAGTACAATAGATGACTTTAAATGCCTTATTAACACCAACTTAATGTTGAGTATCTACACAAAGTGAGCTAAAATAAAGCTAAGAATACACTTTGTTTGTCCCTTGCTTAACCATGCAGGATGAGACTCCTTCCCCCCGTCCACAAACGACTTGGTACTGCTGAGGGTGAATGAACTTCTCTCTCTCTCTCTCCCGCAAAACGTGTTCATAGCCTATCTGCCTGGTAAATCGGTGATATGGCTCGAAATCTCTTTCTCAATGGCTGGCGGAGATGCATCCACTCCCTTGTGACTTATAACTTCCAATAAAAAAATATTGTTCTTCGTTATTATTATTATTCTTTTTATCGCATATCCTTGTTTACTGTCTCTATTTTGTATTTCTTCTACTTTCTTTTCTTGCTTTGTGTGCTACAAGGAGGGAGTGTGGCGATTTGAACTGCTGCACATCGGTGCAAAGTTCTACCTTGAAAACAGATAGACAGACAGACAGACAGACACAATGAATTGTAATCAGGTTGACAAAGAAATGAGAAAGCAAAGGATATGACGTTATAGTTCGAAAGAAATACAAGAGTTATGAAGAGTTTGAGAAAAACAGCAATTTTGTTCATTGTCCAACGTTGTGAAGTCAATCAGGAGTTCCGTATTATTGGTACACACGTTGTGGATACACGGATCACAAGATTGATAAAAATCCATTCATTACAATCCTATGTGATACAAGACACCATGTGAATTCCCAAAGTTTGTACTCCTTTGATTACCCTAAATATAGTTAAGGCGCAGTTGGCATTTGGAAAAATTTTCACCCAAGTCTCTGTGTTCAGAAAAAGTTTGTTCAATCTCTCTCTCTCTCTCCTTCTCATGACCTTCAACTTCAACTTAGAATTGTTGTCCTGTGATAGTGCTAACTTTATTATGAATATCATATTGTGTGTTATAGTTGTATATTTATTTTTCTAAATCTTAATTTCGCAATTTATTATTATTATTATTATTCTACTCACATTCTGCTTGATTCAGTCTGATTCTATTGATCCATTTTGTTCCAAATGTCTATGTCTAATATTTTATAGTGTAATTTTAAAGCCTGATGAGTATTTACCGGAAATACGTATTTGCTTGATTATATTGTATCCTGAAATTATCATCATGGAAATATTTACATTCACTGAAGTTGCCCATAAAAAAAAGTGCAAAAGACTGAGAAGAATGAACAAAGAATATTCAGATTTTCAATAACCACTTCTTCATCATGTTCTACATGTTATATATGAGAGTGATTATTATTAACAACACCAATGCTTAGAAATATCCATTCATATAACTCTAAACTGATTGAATAGAGGTTTGACAGCTATCCGACTTGCAGTAGTAGTAACACACGATCTGCTTATTTTGCACTCAGGTCTCCGATTGATTTAGGCGAATTGCAATAGCCTCTGTTGTTTTGAGTGTGTTGGCGTATCTAAAGGCCTTTGGTACCGGATAGATATATGATAGAGAAAGATTCTTCAATGCTAACTAACTTTGTAGCCGGTTTAGACAACATGATCTAATAAAGAAGTCTTAACGGGTTTTTAACAACGTCTTTATTTAACACCACTGGTAGGTAGGGGTTCCCGAGCACGAAAAATTAAGTTCCTAGAGGAACAGATACATAACTTGCAATTGGGTCTATTATTATTATTATGTGCGTCGGTGGCACAGTGGTTAGGACTCTCGCCGACCATGCACATGGTCCGGGGTTCGAGCCCGCACCGACGCACACCTGATATCTATGGTCGGCCTGCGAAATTTGGGCTACCGATATCCATGCTGAAAATTCCTTCCAAAAGGGGAAAAAAAAAAAAAAAAAAAAAAAAATTATTCCTCTGGGTTCAGAGTGGAACATAAGACTCTCCTGTTCATCTGGGTGTATGCTTGGCCATAATCTCTCATCTCCTCCTCCAACTCAGACGATCTCTTCCATGTAACCCTCGCACTGACGACCCACTCGTCGTCGTTTCCCATTCCGATTCCACTCGATCAATGGCGCCTGCATTGACCGCTATGTCATTAGATGGTTTCCTCAACGTGTATGCCCTATCCATTTCCATTTTCTCTTTCATATATGTTGAGCAATCGGCTGTTGGTTGGTTCGTTGCACTGCAGAGTTTCTTATTATTAATTTTTTCTGGCCAGCTGGTCATTTGATCCACACTGTTGAACCAGCGAAGTGGGCGGGCAGCTAGTGATAAAAGTCTACAACAGGCTGTTGGATATGCTTATCATGATAAGCAGTGCAAATTTCTGACCCATATAGAAGCACTGACAGATTTCACATTTATGTTGAAAATCCGAGTCTTGTTGTTTATGCTGGGTGCAGAAGATTTCCAAACTGGTTTCAGGTTGACGAAGGTCTATCTTGCCTTTCCGATTCTGACTGACTGACTGGCTTTGACATCTTCATCTGTGCTTTCCACTCGCCTGTGGTTGAAGTCGTGCTTCGTTGCCGGAAAAGTGAAGGAAGTGAATGACCTCTGACAAACCTCTCCTGGTAATGGTGATTGGTGGTGGTTGTTATTGTTGCTGTTGGTTGGTTGGTTATCTTCGATACCTCCTCCGCCTTCTCTAAGTTCGTCACCTGGAATCCTGTCTTCTTTGCCTCCCTGCTTGTTCAATCAGTTTGTTGGTTTTTGACTACCTGCATGTCTTCGAATCTAGGTGACATTAAAAATAAATTATATGCGAAATCCAGAGCTTTTAGAGTCCTCTTTTCGGTCGGCCCTATACATTCATAAATGCCATATTACTTCCCTTATCAGTTTAGTGTTATATCAATGCATATGATCTCTTCTGGATGCTTTTCAAATGTAATATGACGATAGTAACTATTCATTTTATGTAACGTGAATGTTGTTAATAACAGTATTTCTTCAATTATTACTATCATATAAATGTAGAACCTGATGACCAAATTCATCGAAAATCTGGATATTCTTTGTTCATTAATCTCAGTCTTTTAAATATTTAGATTATTGAAAATCAAATCGATAGAAAACTAACAAGCTTGTTACCGTGGTAGTAGTAGTAGAAGTGGTCGAATAATTCTCCTATGCATTCTCTCTCTCTCTCTCTGAATGGCTACACCTTCAGCAATACACAGAAGAGACAAGAGCGTATTGTCTTTGGCAGAGATTATTCTTCATTTTGTGAGTTGTATTTTGAAGATTGAGTTAGTTGAGATGGAATGACTAGTGCTGTTATGATACTGGATTATTGCACTCCTTATAGTGCCACTACTGCCTTTCTGCAACCAGAATAGAGAAATTCGCTTAAAAGAGTATTCGCAGATGGCGATTATTCTGTCTGTCTCTGTTTTCGACATAGAACGTTGCACCGATGTGCGGCAGTTCACGTCGCCACACTACCTCCATGTAGCACACAAAGCAACAGAAGAAGATAGAAGAAATGCATAATAGAGACGGTAAACAGAGGTGTGAGACAAAGGAATAGTAATAACGAAGAACAATATAGTTTCACTGGAAATCATAAGTCACAGGGAGTGGATGCATCTGCGCTAGCCATTGAGAACGATTTTGAGCCATGTCACCAATTGTTTCCAGCCATTGGTTTTTACCGTCCCGAGGATCCCAACCAGTTAGGAAGTCTACATCTTCCTACGTGGCTTAAACTAATTGTTGTGGATTTCACTGACTGATAATGTCATGTTTTCGTTTGACTACCACTAGCTCTCTCTTTCCCAACTTGATCCTATATCAGCTATCATTGCCCGTTGTCGAGCAAGGCAACGGCTAGGCTAGGCATACGTAATACATATCCTGACCATCTCAACCGGTGTAACTTCACAACCTTGTCGATTGATTTCCCCTCCCACCTACCTAGCACTCGACAGATACCTAACCTCAATACTGCTCACCTTATATCACTTCTCGCGGGAGATGGAATACAGACACTTGTGGTCAAAGACAACTAATCTTTCTATGTCTTCCACTCTGAATGGCCAGGTCTCACAGCTATAAAGGAGGACAGAGAGGACTGATGAGCAGTACACCCGACCTTTGGTCGATAGCCAGCCGGATATCACATCAAATTGAACTGTGAATTAATCATTGTACGTGAACATTTTCTCTTATAAGATTGTATTCATCATTCCTTTTTATTTTTCCTCTCCAAATTCTATCTCAGATCTACTGGATGTATAAATCTTGAAATTCATTATCCCACAGCTGACAACAACAAAATCAATACGCAAACTTTACCTATTCATATTTGTATCCTATGCGAGCAGAAGACTTTTATCAATATACTTAGCCATTATTCACGAAGTAGTGCTGGTTTAGTGTCTTCTGATTTCTCTACCTCCTTTACCTATTCATCAATATTTCCTTGTTCGAAACGCTTTATAAACATTCTCTGCAATATTGTTGAAGAAGACTCAGTGTCGACTCCTGATTTAATACGGCTGTTTAGTCTACCAAATGGAATAGTCTATGCAATATGGTATTCAGAGGTTACAAAACAGTTACACTGTTCAATCGCCTTTCTACTATCTACTTGTCAATCATCAATTGTCACTTGGGCTTTTATATATAACCCTGTAAATAAATCAATATCCTCCTCGTATACTACATCTGGAGGTAATTCTTCAGCACAAAATGAAAAGAATACTGTCAATGATCTGCTAATTGGTTTAACAAAAGATGGTCAAGGTGTAGGCGTCTGGTTTGATTCAGCCTGTATTGATTGTGAAAAGAAGTGAGTGTTGTTTTTGCTTTATTTTATTTATTATGTAGCGCTTTTATCAGTGAGTATCTCTGCTTGTCATATGGGGAAGGGTTGGGTTCACTGGATTCCCAGTGTCGAGGAAGCTGGTTTTTATGTGTGTTGGCGGTTCAGTGGTAAAATTGTTGCCAACGATGCGGCATGTGGTTTGGGATTCAATTTCCAGTTGACGCATTCCTAAACCTCGCTAAGACGGTAGTAAGACTAGTAGAGAGGGAAGATTGGGTGTGTGAGGTTACCCCAACCCCCTCCCACCCTACCCTGTAAAAATAGAACCACTGCTATCGAAACTTGAAAGCTCTAGCTTGAAGTCTTATGTTCCACTAAGAACATCAAGGAATAATCTTTAAATATTCCCATTTTTAATACTAGAACAAGACATATAAGCGAACAATATTGTTGTTTTCAATTAGATCTTCTTCAGGCTTGATTCTAATTTGACATAGATTTATGTATAAAATTTTTCACCAATAACGGTGATTTTGTGGATCAAATAATCTTAATAATGTGGTAAATGTTCTGAACGTAGTTAATAATGATGATTATAATGATAACAAAATATTGATAATAAGATTTATGCAGGTGGCGATAAGAGGAATAACAAAGGTAGAGTAATATGCGTATATGTAGACAATTCAATAAATAAATTAGGTCAAATCTTAAAAGTTACGTAATACTGAAGTTAGGTGAAGTGGACAGATAATCAAAGTCTAAATAAATATCATAAAAATACGAAGGAGATGGAAAATAAGAAGGGGTGGGGGAGGGTTTTGAATAGAATTCACCTAGGCGAAGCAAGGGAGAGACAAAGGTAGAACAAACTCCTTTTGTTGTATACAATGACACTAGAATTGTTGTCTCAAATTAATTCCCAGAAGTTGGAATTCATAAACCATTGGGTCAGATCTCAGTGGCTTAATGGTCTATGAGCTAACTCGCCTTGTAACCGGAATATCGTGGGCTAGAACCCTGGTTGGGGTAGGTGCGTACTGATGAAGAGTTCCAAACTAGGCGAAACAACTAGTTGCCCAGTACTCCCTGTTGGTTTTCCAATGGTTCCTTGACCGATGTCAGCTCATGATGAAATCCTGTAACCAATCAATCAAATCCATACAGATCAATACTTGAGTACAGTTAGTTTGCATATTGATTTCAGAGCAATGCAAGTTCATCTTGCTCTCCCAATCCTGGCTGATTTGAATATCATCATCTGTGCCGTTTGTATTTAAAAATGCCGCTGTCTACTTAAATAGTTTACTAGGCTATCCTAGGCACGGAAAAAGTTAGGAACTTGGGTGTAAGGCTAACGACGAAATGGGCTTCATTATCTGTAAACACACGATTTTATAGCCTACGGGTTTGAAATTTGAATCTCTTTTATCAACTTGAGACTAGGCGACTGCATAGTACCATCAGCCTTCACATAACGAATTTAGTTGATGACATTATTATTATTGTTCCTTTGGTTTCCTAGTGGAACATAGGGCTTCAACTGCACGTCTCCACTTGCTTCTGTCTTCCTTCTGCTGTACTTTTCACCTGCATCCATGTTAGTCCATACTGTTTCAACTCCTGTTCACACGATCTCCTCCATGTCACCCTTGCACCGACGTCCCACTCACCGCTTTCCTTTCGGCCTGGTTCCACTCAAGCAATGGCCTGAAGCGCGCGCGATGTCACCCAGCGGTCTCCTCAGCGAGTGTCCAAGTTGATGACTTAGTACTTGTAAATGTCTTACTGGTTATTTGAGACAGTCAAATTCCCGGTTAACTCTTGTCTGCATATTATTTTGTAAGAGTTTGCTTGTAAGGATTCGGTTCCTTTCGAGTTTGATCACGGATTGAGATATTAGTTATAGAGAGAGAGAGAGAGAGAACCATTGAAAACCAACAGGAAGTAGTACTACAGCTACTTCGTCCTAGTTTGGGACTCATCATCAGTAGTCACTCACCGCCAGGGTGCGAATCCACGACTTTCCGCAGTTACAAGCAAGTAAACTCGTAGGCGACCACTGGTGCCCGACTCCTCAATGGTCCATAAATGATAACTTACAGATTTAAAAAAATCATCTTTTTATTTTTGTGCTAACATTATTTTTCAAAATTTTAATTTTTCTGTGTTTGTCTATCTTTTTACAAAATTACTGGAGAAAATAGGAACTTAAACATCACTGAATTCAATTTACCTAAACCGCCTGATCCAATTACTAAGTGTCGTACACAAGCATCCTGGTTACATATTATCACTCAAAGTGGACATTTAATATCGGTACACTTTAGTTTACAATTACCGTCGACGACGATGACGAGGACAATGCCAACAACCGTTTGTGATGATTTCAATAACACCAGCAACAGTAAATCAACAAAATGGAGATTAATTTGTCAACCAACTAATTTCCCCCGTTTGCCAATTCATTTAGCTCCTGTGGATAGTGTAGACCAGTGGATAAAATCGTGTCCAAGATGGCGTGATCTTCGTATTTGTGGTTTTAGTCGTTTGCCTGGTCAGTTTTAAAATTTTATTTTATATTTCCTTTTTTATATAAAAAAATAATCTCTCTCTTTTTTGTTTATTTATATCACGCTAGGCGTATTATTACTCTTTTTTTAAACTTGTATATAGCTTGTTATGTGTTACATAAATACATACCCGTCTATAGACAAATTTCTCGAATGAATCTGATGAATATGTACTTCGGATTGAACAATTAAGTGGTCGCGCTATGTCGTGAATTGGCAGAAGTTAGAATTTATGGGCTGGCCATTGGATCGGCTCCCAAAGGCTTAATGGTGTATGAGCTCGCTAGCCTTGCAACCAGGAGGTTGTTGTTTCGAACTCTGGCGGTAGGTGGATACTGACGAAGAGCCCCAAACCAGGTTGACAAAACAACTGTAACAACAGAAGACAAGGGCCAATCAACAGGTCGTTTATTAAGGAAATCAACACATATTTATAGATTTTTATATACATATTATAGATTATTGTTAGCAGAAAAATACAATCTTCTGATTGGTTGTTTCTCACTGAAAATTAACCTTGCATCTCTTTGATGACTGTTTCTTGAATGTCAAATCATCTATATGTTAACTGTATCTGCCTACGCAAAGCGTTTGTTCTCATTTATCTCACGACTAATCAATATTGGGGACATAAACATTTACGTAAATTACTGTCCACCAATTTTGGCTAACAGCCAGCTCTCACCACACAACTAGTTGTCCAGTACTCCCTGCAAGGTTTCCAATGGTTATCTAACCAATGTCAGTTCATAATGAAATCCTGTAACCAGTCAATCAAATCTCTACAAACCAATGCTTGAAAATAATTAGTGTGTTGGCTGATTGGTTGAATGCGATCGGTACCGGTAGTAAGCCTGGAAACAGCTTTCTTACTGACTGACACTCATCAGCAGCTTGTGATTCAGAAATATGTGCGTTAAATTCAGCTTTGTTCTACTGAAAATATTATCAGATTATCATACGAATGCCAGAATAGAAAAACACTCAGAAGTATTTATATTTGTTACTAGGGTGGTATGAATAAATACAATTTTTGTGTAATGCATCCTGGTGGGCATCGGTGATTCAATAATGGAATGCACACCAGCCACGCAGTATACCGCGAAGTTCGATTCCTGGCCTACTCACTCCTAAACGTCCCCTAGTTTAGTAGTATTAGGCGCAGAAAAGAGGGAAGGTTGATCGTTAGGCTAGTAAATCCATCCCTTAAAAAACATCTCTGTGAACACTACGAATACAAAAGTAAAACAAGTCTGTCGACTATCACTCATGATGATATTCGTAGTTGTTATGGTCTGGACCATATGGAAGATGGTGCATGGGAGCGAGAAGACAGGAATACGCTGCACTGACCAATAAGAAGACTAGAAGATTTGGATTTCACATGAGGATGAATTATGTTTAATTGTAACGACAGAAGACAAGGGTCAGGCAACATATCGTCTATTGAGGAAATCAAGAGATATTTATAGATTTTCATGTACATTATTATTCGTTATTATCAGCAGGGAAACAGCGTCTTCCAATTGGTTGTTTTCTCGCTGAAAGTTATTCTGTCATCCCAATGTGGTCGCTTCTTTGAAGGTCAGACCATACATGTGTGAATCGTATCCGTCCACGCAAAATCTGCTGTTATTGGTTGTCGAGTTAGTCTTTGTTCTTGTTTTTTTGTCATGAACAACATTTTGGACGTAAACATTGACGTAAATTGCTGTTTAACGATTTTGGCCGGCAGACATCACTCACCACATAATGTCACACATACACAAACTCGAAGACTTACAGGCGGAAACTAACAGGTTGATAGAAGAAGCAGACAGGCAAACAAGACAGGACTCTAGGTGATGAACGAAGAGAAGACGGAGGAGGTAATGAAGATAACCAACCAATCAACCGATAGCAACAACAACCAGCACCAATCACCATCAACTGGAGAGATTTTACAGAGGTTAATTCCATCACTTATCTGACTAGGTGCACGGTTTCAACCGCAGGCTGGAGGACAGCACAGATGGAGATGTAAAAGCCAGCCAACCAGAGTCTGAAAGGCAAAATACGCCTTCATTAACCTGAAACCAGTATGGAAGGCTTCTGCTTCACTCAGTCAGTATGAAGAACAAGATTCGGATTTTCAAGGCAAATGTGAAGTCAGTCAGTCAGTCAGTCAGTTCTAGCAGCGTTTCATGACCAGGATCTCCGACAGGTTACTGCAGACTTTTGTCAACAGCTGCCTTCACTGGCTCTATACTAAAGATCAAATGGCTCGTCAGGAAGAATTAGTGACAAGAAACTGTGGGAACAAATCAGCTAACAGCTGATCGCTTATCAAATATGTGGGAGAAAATGGAGATGAATTGATCGGGCATACATTGAGAAGACATCGCGCACAATACAGGCCATCGATCGACTTAAATCCCAATGGAAAGCGACGATTGGGTCGTCATTTCGAGGATGACATAGAGATCATTTGGCGAGGAGGAGACACGAGATTATGGGCAATCGTGTGCCCAGTCAGTTGAAGAGGACAGCAGAAAATATAAGAAAGTGGAGATGTGTTGTTGAAGCCGTATATGTTCCACTCAGAACCCAAGGGAATAATAATAATAATAGTTGAATAGGTAAGTCGAAAGCATCTTTATACACTGAAAAACACTCCACTTTATTCTTCTTCTCTTTTTTGTATTCCTTACAGATGGTCATTTAGGTTGTGTTAATTCCAATGGATATAAAACACGTTTAATAGATGTCGTAAGTAAAGCAGAAAATTCTTTTCAAATAGCTGATATACACAATGAAGAAAGTCAACAACTCTTTGCCAGTTTGGTAAAAACTCAACATGAAATGAAAATATACATAGCATGTTTATATCTCTTATTGAATTATATGAATAATGAGAATTGTCAGGCTCCTTCTACACCTCTCTTAGATTGTAATATCTATTTAACTCATATGATGACGAGAGGTCATGATGATGATGATGAATATCAATCGAATCCATCGTCATTGGATTTAATTGTTGACATATCTATGCTGGTAAGTGCCCTGTACGTACGCCTAGTGGTGTTGATCTTTATCTGTGTGTTTTTCTCAACCCTTTTTCTTATTGTTGTTGTTGTAACTCAATAAAAGTCAACAACAATAACAACTGTGTATGATTGCTAAGTGCCAAGAATTTCTGACCAATCGATATGCATGTCTCATTAGTGGTTTCTGGGATTGGTTCCGTTTATTAGTAAACTTACCGCTGAAGTGGTGATGACTAGTGGTGTCCGTCAGCGAGGGATACCCATTATCCCCATTTCTATTCAACTTCATCATAGATATTGTACTAATGGACTTAACCCTAACTCACTTCAGAGACTCAGGGATTGACTTGCTACCAGGGAATAATCTCGTTGACTTGGAATATGCACACGATATAGTCCTTTTAGGTGAGGACGCTGGCTGATAAAATGCAGAGTCTTGTGAACACCTTGAGCTGCAATCTACGAATGTTTGGCATGCGATTCGCTCCCGCTGGACTACATCGACGCCTAGTTTAAAAATAGGAAGTGAAGTGGTAGAGCACGTTGACCGCTTCACTTATTTGGGAAGTACCATCAGCCAGTGCCAACGGTTGATCTCTGACGAAATCTCAGCACGAATACAGGGGGCTCGTTTCGCATTTGTCAGTTTACGCCGACTCTGGCGTAGACAAGATATTCGACTATCGACCAAAGGGCGGGTGTATTGCTCATCAGTCCTCTCCGTTCTCCTTTATGGCTGTAAGACCTGGCCATTGAGAGTGGAAGACATGAGAAGATTAGATGTCTTTGATCATAGGTGTCTGCGCTCTATCTCCTGTGTGAAGTGGTATTATAAGGTGAGCAATATTGAGGTGAGGCATCGGTCGAGTGCTAGGCAAGGATGCAAATTCAGTCGACTAGGTTGTGAAATTACACCGATTGATAGAGATGGTTAGGACATATGTTACGCATGCATGCCTAGTCTTCGCCTTCCTCGACGAGAGGTGTTAGCTGACATAGGGTCAGGCTGGAAAAGAGAGAGCGGCGGTCAAGCCAAAACATGACCTCATCAGTCAATTAAATCCACAACAGTTAGTTTAAGCCACGTAGGAAGATGTAGACTTCCTGACTGGCTGGTTGGGTCCTCGGGACGGTAAAATCCAATAGCTGGAAACAATTGGTGACATGGCTCAAAATCGTTCTCAATGGCTGGCGCAGATGCATCCACTCCCTGTGATTTATAATATCTAATGAAACTATATTGTTCTTCGTTATTACTATTCCTTTGTCTCACGCCTCTGTTTACCGTCTCTATTATGCATTTCTTCTACCTTCTTCTGTTGCTTTGTGTGGTGCATGGATGCAGTGTGGCGACTTGAACTGCCGCACATTGGTGCAAAGTTTTATGTCGAAAACAGACAGACAGACATATCTCATTGGCTTAAGCAGTCGACTTCCAATCAATGGGTTTCTGGTTCGAATGCTGCTTTTATTTATTTAGTTTAAACACAAACTTGATACTTACGGATACTAAAAGATACGCCACACGGAATCTCATAGTCTGTGTGAGGGCTGGGATACTGCTCGAACGCTCAGACCAAAGCAGGGTAGTTATCTAAAGGAGCCACCCCCGAGTCTTGGAGCAACATCACGAACCAAAACAAGTTCATATACCATCCGATTCCTTCTGATTCTGTAGCCCATATACACCATAAACTCGGAATCAGAGTTTCCCAGTTCCCCGTTATATAGACCTGTATGTTCACCAGTCGGGTTGTAAACTATAGACTCTGGCATTTGCCCTTTCACTTTTGTGATTGCAGTGAATATATGACTTTCCTGGTAAAGGTTATGAACGCCTGGCCAGATGAGAACATTTCGAGCGAATGACCAGAGTCTACTCACTTTCGGGTCGTACCAGATAGAATCCCACTCCGTGTAATTCAGCCTGTGCAGCTGGGTAGTGGGGTATGATTACCCTTCACACATTGGCGTGTGGCTCATAGCCTAGAATACGAAAGACTTGTTTCAAGAACTGAATGAATTCAAGACAGTCATCTACAGGTCCATTATCAGTTTTCAGCGTCATTACAGTTGCATGCATGGACTGCAATAAACATTACTGCGGTCCGAATCCAAGAACACAAGTTAACTGTACAAAAGCATATATATGATTACGGACACCCATTAGATAACTAGGGTAATGTGGACATTTTAAATAGAGGAAACACCAAAAATGTAGTCAGGGAATTTCTAGAAGCCTGATACTCAAGTGATTAACAAACACATTACCTCTAAAGACCAAATTTACCAGCTGACCAGAGTAACCAGCTAATCAAAACTAAATCGCATGACAATAATGTTCAAATTCTAAGTCAATACAAAAGTATGATCAATAGAGACGTAAATTAACAACCAGTCATGACAATGGTTGCCAGGAGATACACTTATATGATCATCAGTCATTTGGAGAATTCAAATAAGTTCATTTCGTACTTAACGCCTGCACTGAAGATGCTGTCTAGATGGGAGACAAAGGAAGCTTAGTAATTAAATTACCCAGCAGTTCACAGAACACGATATATATCATCCACCTGATCGCTACAAATCTTCTCCATTGAACATGTTACTTACTAGTTTAGAGCTACAATCTTGTCTAGCCACGGAGGTAGGTGTAGACTTCCAGGCTGGGGTCCTCGAGACGGTAAAAATCAATGGTTGGAAACAATTGGTGACATGGCTCAAAATCGTTCTCAATGACTGGTGCAGATGCATCCACTCCTTGTGACTTATGATTTCCAATGAAACTGCTTTGTTCTTCGTTATTACTCCTTTGTCTCACCCCTCTGCTCACTGTCTCTATTATGCTTTTCCTGTACTTTCCTCTCTTGCTTCGCGTGCTACACGGAGTGTGGCGACTTGAACTTCCGCACATTTGTGCAAAGTTCTATGTCGAAAACAGACAGACAGACAGACAATCTTATCTACTTATATCATATCACAAGTAGTAGTGTATCTTTTTCAAAATAAACATTACACCACTATTAGAACTGATTAATTTTAACCCTTGTTTTTGTCTTTTTTAAATTTCTAATCCGCTTACTTTTCTAAAGAATGCAATCACTGATGTCAACATTGATGACTTATTCCAGTCTGACGTGACTAAAATCACTCCAGAGAATTTAGCTTCCATGATATTGTTCGAGTCAGAGACAAAGGACAAGAAAAAGAACCAAATGATTTCAGAATATCTTCAACAATATTTATATATTGTTTTTACAATTGATATTGTTAAAGATGATTGTGAATTGTCAGCTGTGTCATCACCGTCGTCAACGCTCAAAGATTCTGCCTCAGATGAAGACATCGATGTAATCAATGATTCTTTTATTTACACACATAAAGAACCGTGGTTTGGTGATCGGAAAAATACATCCTCTCCCAGGCAAGTCATGTGTTGCTAGATCGTTACAGTAGCTTTCGTACTTTATATATATAAATATATATATATTTTCCTTTAATTCCTAGAAGAACATAGGGCTTCAGCTGCACGTCTCCATTGCATTCGGTTCTCTGCTAGAGTTTTCACCTGGCTCCACGTCTGCCGCCCACATGCTTTCATTTCCTCTTCACATAACCTCCTCCAAGTCACCCTTGCACTGTCTATCAACTCTTTGCTTCCTGTTTGGGTTCCACTCGAGCGATGGCCTGGCGTGTGATGCCACTTGATGTTTTTATCAGTGTATGGCCAATACATTTCCGTTTCTTCCTGCATATTTCTTGCATAATCGGTTCCTGGTTGGTCGGCTCCAAGAGATCTTTGTTGCTGATCTTTTCTGACTGGCCATCTAATTATGGAAGTATCGAGCAAAGACAGCTGTTGATGAAGGTGTGTAGTTTGTTTGAGATGCTCTTTATGACGCGCCAAGTCTCTGATCCGTACACTAAATAGCACTGACTGACTTCATATTGGAGTTGAGAATCCGGATCTTATTTTTCATGCTGAGTGCTGTTGACCTGCACACAGACTTGAGAGTAATGAAAGCTTGTCTTGCTTTCACAATCCTCGTTGCTTTGATATCCTCACCAGTTCCGTCAGCCTTTAGTTGAAACGATGCTTCCCAGGTAGGTGGGCAGGTAAAGGAGGTTGTTCCTTTCAGGTTCCTCCCATTTATGCTGGCTGATTGTTGTCTGTTGTTGTTGCTGCTGTAGGTGTTGGCCAGGATTCTTCACCACCTGTTTTCTCTATGTTCACCTGAATTTCTATCTTCTCAGGATGCTTCTTCTGCCAGCTTGTTGCTTTTCACTTGCATATCTTCCAGTTTGTTGGAAATCAGACATATATCATCGGCGAAGTCCAGATCCCTCAAGTTTTTCGTACCCTATATGTGTGTCTTTAAATCAAATTGATGATTTACAATTTACACAGTTTGATGAGGTGAAACGTCTTACAGTTTTCAAAGGAGAACCTGTGGAAATTATTCATATCACCACAACACATGTCGTCTGATATAAGAATAGGATTGTGGATAAAATTTATTTTGATAAAGTCACACAGTGTTGTATTATACGGTAATATTGACTGATGCGACCACGTTTCAAGCACAATTTATTACTACTCGCAATCATATCAAGACACTATTCACACAACATTCTAACTTCGTTTATTTAATTCCAGCATTATTTTTCACCGCCTGACTTGATTGGTAGTAGAATTTTCCATATTTCCGGTATGAGTGATGAGTCATTCCTATTGCAAGTGTTGGGTGTAGACTCGATGAACCAAGATTCAGTAACCAACCACTTCTCTCCAGCCACCTATATTGCTTCTTAGAATTTTAACCCTCTCCACCCTATTGTTTGGTTGTGTTTTAATGTATGCGGTGGCAATTGCTGAGTTATTTTCTAAATTACTTATCTTCGTGGGATCAATCACTCTAACCCTAGCGTAATTGTTATGTTTCGACAATCTCACTACTCCTGATCCACTACTAGGTTGACCTATTTAGTCGACTTAACTCACAGTCATTGCAAGGTATTTTGTAAATTATATTATTTTATCTAATTGGGTCACTACTAAGTAGCACAAAAAAGACCTAAATAATGAAATGAAACAGATAGAAGAGGGGTTGGTGTCATACAGCTGTCCTATAAAATTCATTAAGAAGATTAGAAAAGGCCAAGAGCAAAATAAAAATAATGTGGAAACTAGTAATGATAACCTAAGTAAGAGAGAATAAGGCATCTACAGTTATACAGTTATAAGGAGGGGACATCTTAGACCCTACGTAGGATTAGAATTTAATTGGTGGATGGTGACTAGCAGTGGAATCCAGGATACGCATTTCGTCCTATTTGGCACTCGTCCGCCAACTGGATGTACCTGCATTCCTCAATAGGCGATGATGAGTTAATTCAACTGCATAGGCCAATCACACCAGTAGATCGGGGGTAGTCAGATTATCGGAACGTTAGAATTTAGCTAAGGTAAGAATGGTTGACTCCATGATGATATATAATTCAGAAAAACTCTCAGCGATTGCACTTCACGCATTAACACACAACCACACAAGTACAGGTGTTGGGAGTGAGTTAAAATTCTAAGATGTAATCTAGGTAGGTGGAGAGAGAGGTGGTTGATTACTGAATCCTTGTTCATCGAGTCTACATTCAACACGTACAGCAGGAATGACCCATCACTCATACCAGAAATATGGAAAATATTACTGCCATTCAGGTTAAGCGATAAAAAATAATAATGGCATTCTAAAAACGAAGTTAGAAAGTTGTATGTGAGTAGTGTCTTGGTCAGATTATGAGCAGCAATAAATTCTGCTTGAAACGTGGTTGCATCAGTCAATATTACTGTATGGGAACACTGTGAGACTTTATCAAAATAAATTTCACCCACAATGGAATATGTTATCTGCTTGATCCCACTAAAATAACACTCAAAAATGAAAGTACCAACACATGACGCGCAATATACTACTTTCTGATTCATTTGAGTAGTTTGATACCGTTCACGTCAACCAATAGATAGGGCTTACTGGTCCCAGCTAGATTGAAGTGATTCAACACACACTCCAGTGGACAGTCGTTTCGTTCGTTTTCAGTCAAACTGATTCAGCACTTTAAGCTGAGTAAAACTGACTAAACTGCCGATGAACTTGTATCGAAACACTTGAAACTTCCATCCGATGGTTGGATCACTGCAATCTAGCTGATCAGCAGCAATCATTGTCTGTCTGTCTAATCTCGACATAGAACTTCGCACTTATGTGCGGCACTTCAAGTCGCCACACTACCTCCATGTAGCACACAAAGCAACAGAAGAAGGTAGAAGAAATGCATAATAGAGACGGTAAACAGAGGTGTGAGACAAAGGAATAGTAATAACGAAGAACAATATAGTTTCACTGGAAATCATAAGTCACAGGGAGTGGATGCATCTGCGCCAGTCATTGAGAACGATTTTGAGCCATGTCACCAATTGTTTCCAGCCATTGGTTTTTACCGTCCCGAGGACCCATCCAGCCAGTCAGGAAGTCTTCACCTTCCTACGTGGCTTAAACTAATTGTTGTGGAGTTCATTGACTGGTGCAGCCATGTTTTTGTTTCACCACCACTAACTCTTTTCCAAGCTTATCCTATGTGAGTCAGCTAACATTGACCGTTGTCGAGGAAGGCGATGACTAGGCATGCATGCGTAACACATGTCCTAACCACCTCAGTCGATGTAGCTTCACAGCCTAGTCGACTGACTTCCCATCCTTAGCTAGCACTCGACCGGTGCCTAACCTGAATATTGCTCACCTTAGTATACCACTTGACATAGGAGATAGAGCGCATGCACCTATGATCAAAGACAGCTAGCCAGGCTTTTCACTCTCAATGGCCAGGTCTCACTCACAGCCATAAAGGAGGACGGAGCGAACTGCTGAGGAGTATACCCGCAGCAGTCATTACTAGTTGATGTTAGTGGAATTCAACTACTATTCATGTGTGTTATTCAGTAACATATATCTTCATTTAGAGTAACTTAGGTAACCATTTTGTCTCTGCGTGGAATGCATTGTCGATGTACGTCGTTGATTTCTTCTAACTTTCGTATCAATCATCTATCAATGTAATAATTCGTGAATGAAATATCTTTAATCCTACTTTTAATATTTTCAGAATTACTGTTAGATTTCTAATGAAAAATAACTCTGTGAGTTTAACAAGATAAGTAGTACAGTCAGTGTGTTTTTCAATCCAAATTTAAAGCTCTCACATCACACTTATTACAGAGAGTACAACGAAGAGATCGCTTTACCTAACGATTTTATTTTCACTGATTAAAAATGCCCATTATAATTTTTCAAAAGAATGGTTTATTTCCTGAGAAAACTAGAAAATCGACATTTGAACAACTTTATTAGAATATTCTCATTTTATTGCCAGTATATGGTGACAGTTGTGACACCTTTATTCTTTGTGATAATGATTTAGATAGCAACACATTAAAGCAGTCTTTGCTTTCTTAGTTTTTCAATTCTTGTATTCTACCCATCCCCTTTTACTGCTCCCCAATAATCTTTCCTGGACTACTTAAGAAGGACTTTGCTTTGCTGAGAAGGGCACTAAAAGCCGTTAGTAAGGCAAGTGGGATATCGTCAAACCAACTGGTTAACACTATTGTGGATAGACATATTATGTCATGTAAGAAACTGGCGAATACAATATTGTCAGACCCCGAGTATCTGGTAGAACTAGAAGCAGCTGTAGGAGGCTATGTGCTAGGACTAACAAGCACAAAAACTCCACAATACCATATCTGGCACGGCTGTTATATGATGAGAAATCCGTTAGGTATGACACGATAAACTTACTGTGGCACTCTAACAAATAGTTCCCATTAGTTTTTGTTTACCTTTCTTCGTTACTATTACACTGTTGTTCTCATCTTCTATCACACATCAACTTTATATTTCATATCCTGTGGTGCATTGTTTAAATATGTAAACGCAACGCTGTTGTTTTTATTTATTTATCTTATTTTGGGTGTTGCTTTTTGATTTTAAAATCTTATAAAATTTATGAGGTAATTAGATGCAATATATTGTAATGCACACTGAGAATTCCATACCTGTACCACAAATACTGTTTGGAATAAAGCTGTTATTATTATTATAAATAACTTAATTGAGTGAAGTAAATTCTGCTATGAAATTCACATGTGAAGAGGAATCCGAAAATGGATGTCCTTCTTACAAGAAAACCAGATGGTAGTATAAAGGGAGAAATTTGCATAGGTAAAGCCAATGGACAGGAGAATATACACATTTTCGTAGCTTCGTTCCTCTGCAGTACAAAATAAATTTAGTAAAGACCCTCAGCCACAGGAAGAATGATGTGCATATCGTGGAGTTTTTCATAAGAAATTCTGGTTTGAAACACTCGAGTTAACGTGACAAATCATTATGATTATTAAATTTTTAAACTTCGAATCTTCAGGTTCCTGGCTGTTTACAACTCTATGAAGGTTATCATCTGAGAAGAAAGTTTCAGTTGTCAGATTCTCGTCACGAACTAACATTATTTAGAGAGATCACTGAAAATCAAGGAGGGACTGGACAGCTGTTTCATATCCCAGTGTGAGACTTTTCATCAGTGCGCACCCTTGACCCTATCAGGGATCAGTTATGAGACTAAACTAATTGACCCGTTCAACTACTTGGGCTGGATTCTAACTTAGTCAACTCGTGGCTTCGATGAGTATACACTTCAATTTTGCATGGTCTGCGAGCACTGATAAAGAATCCTAAATTATGACATAACAACTATCCAGTGCTCCTTGTTGCTTTTCCATGATCTCTCTGCTACTGATGTTGGTTCGTGGTGAAAATCTAACGATTGAAATTAATCCTAAGAGGTGGTAAGTCATTCAATATAAAGTGAGAACATTATTCTAAAGTTGTGTTCATGTTCGAAAACGAACAGAAATGCAGAGAGACGTTATGGGGGATCGTTGACGATGGCGTAACATTATCGACAAATAATTTAGAATGGATATTCACTGAGAATTCCAATAGAACTCAGTCACTAGCGAATGCAGGTTCATCCAGTTGGCGGACGAGTCCCAAATAGGACGAACTGAGCATCCTGGATTTCACTGCTAGTCCCCATCTACCAATTGACTTCAAGTTGCATGACCAGACGTTGTCGAAGTTAATGCAGAAGGAGCTGAAATTTCAACCTGAGAACGAGCACATCGGTCAAATCAGTTGACGGGAAAATCTGAAATTGAATTATAGTCAACTATGTGCTTCAAATCAATAAGGTTAAATGTTTTTTGTAAACTCTTATACTACTTCTTACGGTTAAGTAGCTAAAATCTAAAAGCAAATATTTGTTTGAATTAAAGAATCGGTTGACATAGATGATTTTATTCTTGAGATCCTTTGTTTTTTGTTTAAGTTAATATCGCCTGTATTTCTTCTCTTCACAAAGGTGTCGGCGTTTTAAATTGCCGCACAAATGGATGCAAATATTTCATGTACCAAACAATTCATCAGAAAGCTTGTTACCACCACCACCACCTATAACTCACAATAATATTTGTTTTAAAGTACAAGTTCAACTGGAATTTCAATCACCAATGTTACCGTCTATCCGTTTTGAACAATCCAATTCACCAAGGATATTTCATACACGTGAATTCCATAATAGTTCACCAATTATAGTTAATATTGGCTCTCGTTTATTTGATTGGATACATCTACTTTATGAACAAAGGAGACGCAATATACTTAAAACTCCTGTGGAATTGACAAAATCAACACCTATTATGCATATTAATGTAACTGATTCAGTTTTAAAGTCAATAATATCAGGTAAATTGTTTTCATAAGTAATTTAAGAGCTTACGGAGAGTTGTCACTTAAAGTGATGATAACAAGTGGTGTTAGTCACGGATGCCCAACCCCCACTGTATCCATTTTTGTTTATGTCTGTCATAGATGTACTGATGGAATTGACCCTAATTGAATTTAGTGACTTGTTGCCAGGCGACAGCCCTGTTGACCTAGATTACGTGGTTGAAATACTTCTTCTAAGTGAAGATATTGAAAAAATTCAGGCTCTTCTGAGAATGCCTTGAGCAAACTTCTTGGTATTTTTGGCATGCAATTCGTTTCTGTCAGGTATAATATGATGCCGCAGGACTATTCTGTACTGACTACTGGTTTATATATAGGCAGACGTGAAGAGTTTGAGCGTGGAAAGTTGCATCATCCCTAATTGATGACTGCTTGCTGACGAAATCTCAACACGGGGTTACAAAAGGTTCATGTGGTATTTGCCAACTTACGTCACCTTTATCGAATGCATGATGACTGACTAATGATTAAAGGATGTGTTAACTGCCTAGGTGTTCTCTCTGTCCTTCTTTATGGCTGTGAGACATGGCCATTGAAAGTGAAAGATGTGAAGTGGCTGGCTGTCTTTGACAACAGATGTTTACGTTCTATCTGGAGTGTTAAATATTATAATATGGTGAACAATACACCGAGGTTAGGTGTAGAGTGTTAGACAATGAGGGCAACTCAGTCATCGATTAAGATGGTTAGGACACGTGTTACACATACCTAGTCACCGTCTTCCCCACTGAGCAATGTTGACTGATATCAGATCGGTTTAGAAAAAAGTTAGACGTGGTTGAAAATAAGACTTGGCATCAGTCCATGAAGTCTTTAACAGTTGGTTTGATAAGCCACATTGGGAGTGTAAACTACCTTGTCAGGATCCTCGAGGTTCTAAGAACCAGACAATTGGCAACTAGCACAAAGTCTAAGTCCATGGCTTCATGCCGATTGCTTCCAACCATCTAATATCAACAATTCAAAGTTCACTGTGATGGTGAGCCACCTAGAATTCTGGCCACATTGTAAATGTGACTGATAGAATTCAGTCTGCATCAAAGATAGGACTAGGGACACACTAGTTACTGACCAGTTTCCGATCAAAATAGTTAACAGAACTTGTTAGACAGCTAAACTCTTGTGAACCCTCACAGTATTCGGACGATAGTGTTACATCCTACTGTGTTTTTATCAATTTATATGCATGTGTGTGGGTCACAAGTACATAGGATGAGGACCCATCGATCTCTGCAGGTCAAGGTAACAGAACACATCCCAAAGTGCTTTTAAGAACAAATAAAAACACTGGATACAATTAATCCTGGAACTAAGGTGTCCAATATCATTTGACGTAAAGCACGTCATAGACATGGGTCACAAAGTCGATTTCAATAATGCCTTTAAGTTCATATATATAAAAGAGGTTTAGGTTACACATAAATTCGTTAAAGCCCCTTAGCTATATCAGAAAAGCTTAAATCTGTTTTATGTATTAAAAAATTATTCTTCATAACTGCGAACCTGCCTTTGTAATCCCATTCAATTTACTTAATAATATTCCCATTTCCCCTTTCTTTTTCCCATCTTATTTTCTTACGTCATTCTCCTATCTCTTATCTCTGTGACCATGATCTGTAAATAATTTGATTTTGTATTGGTCATGATGTTGGATTGGGTAGCTGTTTTTGTTTAACCGCTATCCAAACAACCTGCCTGGCATGGTAGGACCTCAAGAGACATAAGTCTCAGCCAGTATAGCTTGAATAGATCATTGCGGTTTTCAAGCCCGACCACCACGTCAAGGTAGCAGCTTTCGGTCCACAACAGTTGGTCTAAGCCACGTAGGAAGGTGTAGACTTCCAGGCTGGGGTCCTCGAGACGGTAAAACTCTATGGTTGGAAACAATTGGTGACATGGCTCAAAATCGTTCTCAATGACTGGCGCAGATGCATCCACTCCTTGTGACTTATGATTTCCAATGAAACTGCTTTGTTTTTCTTTATTACTCCTTTGTCTCACACCTCTGCTCACTGTTTCTATTATGCTTTTCTTGTACTTTCTTCTCTTGCTTCGCGTACTACACGGAGTGTGGCGACTTGAACTTCCGCACATTTGTGCAAAGTTCTATGTCGAAAACAGACAGACAGACAGAAATAATTTGATGAAATACATTTATAAAAATTGTGATCCTTTATCCTCTGTTTTACTTTCCATTATAAATACATATATCACAAGTACGTGGGTGTCATCAGAATGTCTGAAAGGTGTTGAGCAAATATATTACACGTTTCAGATAAATTGTGTCGTCCTAGTTTGTGACTCTTCAATAGTACTCATCTGTGTGACCTCACCAGAATCCTCAGGTTACAAGGCACGCTCGTTGAACACTTATCCACTGATAGCTCATGTATTCTAACTTCTGCTTTGGTTAAAATTCTCAGAAACACCATTTGTCAATCAGTATTTAATGAAAGCAATTACTTTACCGAGAATTCTTACTTTTCTGTTGTTGTTGTTGTTGCTTTTCTTTTTAGATGCTTTAAAACTGTCGTCGTTGTCGTCATCATCTTCATCAAAGAGTCGAGATGATTTTCTCAAATCGATTATCACAAATGATCATTGTCTACTCTACAGCTGTTTAACAAAACAATCTGTTCAACTTCAATGGTCTGTATACTTAGATTTAGATAATTCTGTTATTGATAATGAAGATAATGATAATAACATTAACACTACGACTACGACTACTTCTACTAATAATAATACTATCACTGGAAGTAGTATATGGTGTTGTACAATATCTTCAAATTGTTTAAAAACTTTATGGTTGACTTATAAAGCTATTGAATTACGTCAACAAATATCAAAACAGGTATGTTGATTTTAATATCACTCACCCACTTGTCTATCATGTCATAAAACCCTGTATACACATGCATCTTGTGAACATCGACTTCCTCAGTCACAGCTTCGAAGTTTCAGTAGTGACGGTGTTTGTTTTTACTGGGTGGAGTGGCTAACCTCATGACCAACCTCTCCTTCCCTCACAGGGGCTTAATAACCGAGATTTAGGAACCCGTCGTCTGGGAGTCGAACCCGGACCACTTGGGGAGTGGCTGGCTAGCATTCTACTATTCAAATGATTCGTTGTTTTATTATTAGTGAGAGGACTGGGATACTGCTCAGTAGTTACCCAGCAGTCTGAAGTAGGTGGTTGTTTTAAGGCACCTTTGACTTCACATCTCATCCACGAGGCAGCAGAGTAGCGTTGGGAGATATGTTCCAATGGTTGCCGGTGAGCCGGTGACTAACACAAGTTTTTTTTCGCCATTGGATCCATTTGAATTCTAGATTCCTGACATGTTAGAACCTACAGGAACACAAGTTCCAGCTAGTGTTAACTTGTTGGGTCACTGAGGTATGCATACTCGACGACCACCATGGCAACGTAGCAGTTATCGGCTGGGATTCTACCACTGGATCATCGACTCACTCAGTGACTTCCCAGTAGTGGCCAGTGGAGTTTACTTGGAAGGATTTGAGAATTGTTACTCAACACTGTCTGTTTTCGACATAGAACTTTGCACAAATGTGCGGAAGTTCAAGTCGCCACATTCCGTGTAGCACGCGAAGCAAGAGAAGAAAGTACAAGAAAAGCATAATAGAAACAGTGAGCAGAGGTGTGAGACAAAGGAGTAATAAAGAAAAACAAAGCAGTTTCATTGGAGATCATAAGTCACAAGGAGTGGATGCATCTGCGCCAGTCATTGAGAACGATTTTGAGCCATGTCACCAATTGTTTCCAACCATAGATTTTTACCGTCCCGAGAACCCCAGTCTGGAAGTCTACACCTTCCTACGTGGCTTAGACCAACTGTTGTGGATTTCATTGACTGGTGCCAAGTTTTTGTTTGACCGCCGCTAGCTTTTTTCCAGCCTGACCCTATATCCGCTAACATTGCTCGTCGAGGGAGGCGATGACTTGGCATACGTAACACATGTCCTAACCATCTCATCTCAGTCTTTGTAACTTCACAACTTCGTCGATTGATTTCCCCTGTTTACCTAGACCTCGACCGATGCCTAACCTGAATATTGCTCACCTTATTATACCACTTTACACGGGAAATAGAGCGCAGGCACCTATGATCAAAGACAGCTAGTCTTTTCATGTCTTCCACTCTCAGTGGCCAGGTCTCACAACCATAAAGGAGGACGGAGCGGACTGATGAGCAATACACCCGCCCTTTGGTCGATAGTCGGGTATCACGTCTACGCTAGAGTCGGCGTAAACTGGCAAATGCGAAACGAGCCCCTTGTATTCGTGCTGAGATTTCGTCAGAGATCAGCCCGTTGGCATTGGCTGATGGTACTTCCCAAATAAGTGAAGCGGTCAACGTGCTCTACCACTTCACTTCCTATTTTTAAACTAGGCGTCGATGTAGTCCAGTCCTGTAACATCATCTTGCATTTGGCGGGAGCGAATCGCATGCCAAACATTCGTAGATTGCGGCTCAAGGTGTTTAGAAGACTGCATTTCGTCAGCGTCCCCGCCTAGTATATCCCAGATAACATCTCAGTGGTATCATGAATTAGGAAAAGTTGGAAATTCTGGTGTGTATTGAAATCAAGTTTGATAACTAACTGGAAGGTAACACCCCTGTTTTTGTTTAATTCATCCCAAAATTGTAATTGTATCTGTCTTAGGTGTACTCCTTATTTTCTTCCAGTAGTTCTCTAACTAATGTCGATTCACGAGGGAATCTAATTTTTGAAAAATTTTACTGAATACAAATCAGGGTTTATTTAAATTTATCTCTACAAAAAAAACTAAATACCAAGGGGTAGGAGAAGTCCGGTTACGATTTCCGATCGACCGACTGACGTACTCCTAAACCTCATTTAGCTAGTTGGTGTAAATCTGGTAAAGAGGGAAGGGTGGGGAGTGTGAGGCCCATTGACTGCATCCAGTAAAAAATAACAACACTGGTACTGAAACTTCCTCAGTCACAGAACCTTTATTTACGTCCATTGCCTCCCAAGCGGATCATAGGACTTCAGTTTTGAAGTTTCAGTAGTGATAGTGTTTGTTTTTCAGGCCTATCATTTTGAAAAGATACACCTTATTATTATATTTATTATTATCACTATTCCTCTGCATGCCGGGCGAAACACACAGCTTCAACAACACATCTGTACTTTGTCGTTTCTCTCTTTAGCTTGCCCCACACTTGCATACAAGCTTTCATTTACTCCTCACACTATCTCTCCTCCATGTTACCTTTAGACTCCCAACTCATCTGTTATGTACTCGTCGCTAAATTATTGTTATGGACTGGTCGAGAAACTAATAGTCCTTACGCTAGAAGGCGGAAATCAGAAGACCACTAGGTGTGCGATGATACTTCTATTGTCCAAACACAAGGAGACGAAAAAAATGGTCTCACACGAAAATGGTAAGTAAAGTCACAAGATTGTGAATGCGAAATATATATGAATGTTCCAGACAAAGTGTGGGAAAAATCATTAGACAGTCTTAACATGAATGGCTAATTATAATGGAGTGTCGATCCAATATACATAGCGAATATAGCAGACATGTCAACAACTACCATATATGGATATATGTCACCAAGCAACGGACTGTCAACAAACACTCATATTATATATAATATAATATGAGGAGAATATACATTGTTAAAGGAGGCAAGTTCATACCAGTGAAATGGTCACAGACTAAGAGAGCAAATAGAAAGACAGACCAACATACACACACACATATATATGTGGATACATATCAATTTCCCATTCGGGTTCCGCTCGACGGCCGCCTGACAAGTGATGTTTTTCGACGGTCTCCTAAGCTTGTACCCCATTTCCTTTGACATATTTTTGTTGAGCAGTAGGTTCTTGTGGTGGGGGTGGGTGGGTTCGACGCTTGTCAAAGTTCTTCGCTGTTTGTCCTTTCTGGCTAACCCTCTGACCTTCAGCATGAAGCTAGCGAAGACAGCTGTTGATAATGATGTGCAGTGGCTTGTTGGAAATGCTTTTCATGATGCGCTGGCCAAGTTTCTCACCCATATAGAAGTGACTGACGTAACATTTGTGTTGTAAATCCGTATTTTGTTTGTTTTTTTGTGCTATGGAATACCTTAGATTTCCAAACTGACTTCAGAGTAGTGGGACGTCCGCCTTGCCTTTTCAAATCTTGTTTTGGCGTCCTCATCAGTGTACCTCTTGTAGTTGAAGTGACGTCTTTCAAATTTCTACCGTTGGTAGTGATTGGCTTTTGTGGTGTGGCTGTTGCAGTAATTCTGTACCATATCTTCTCAATTCTTTGGAAACATGAGCAGCCGCCTTACCAGCCAGTTTCGTATATTGTGTGAACATTCTACGTCCTCATGCTTATCTTAACTTTCATCGAGTGAAGACACATTGGTTAACTGACTGACTAACTGGCTTCCCAAAGGCTTTCACCAGCACGCGTCATCATTCCGTTTTCCCGGCCGACAACTGCTACCTTACCGTGGTGGTTGGGCTTGAATACCGCAGTGACCCAACAACCTGAACTGGCTGGGACTCATGTCCCTGCAGGTCCTACCATGTCAGGAAGGCTGTTTGGATAGCGGTTAAACTAAAAGCAGTTACCATGGGGTACATGGGTTCCAGAATCAAATCGGATCAAATGGCGTATGAGCCCACATTGGTCACCGTCAACCGTGGGAATGCAGCTCCTGACGCTGCTCCACTGCCTTGCGGATTAGACTCCAAGTCAAAGGCTCGTGGGGTGGTCCCTGCTTCGGTCTGGGCGCCTGGGCAGTATCCCAGCCCTCACACAACTTGTGTGGCGCATCTTTCTTGGTGCCATATTGTACCAAGTGTTTTCTGCGTTTAAATAAATAAATAAATAAGTTTTCCAATTCATATCCTTTGAAGTTTCTGTAGGGATTGAACTGGTTTCCCCCCGAGGGGGGGTAGGGTCCTTATCCTTTGTTAGTTATTATAAGAATATAATTTTAGTGCTGTCATTTTGATTATTGGTTAGCGAAACAAACAGCATGAATAGATTCGAAAATAACATCTTTTCAAGAACACTCACTCCTCAAATATGGTTAACATAAGTAGATGATACTTTTGTCGTACTGAAACGAGATCTACACAGTTCATTCTTAGAGAAAATAAACAATCTATTTTTCAAAATCCAGTTTACTCCGGAAGCAGAATCAGACGTCGATGAACTACCATTTTTAGACTGCCTAGTTAAGAGGAGGGAAAACGGACATTTTAGTGTATCTATATTCAGGAAGAAAACCCATTCCAATAAATATTTAGACTTCGGATCATCACGCCCCATCATTACAAAGGTATCAATTATTTCAAGTCTTCTTAGACGAGCACACTCTGTGATGTCAACGGATGAGAAAGAAAAAGAAGAAGAAATATCAAACATTACTGAAACTCTCAAGCAAAACAACTACCCAAAGAACTTCATCAAGAAGATCAACACTGACATAGAATTTGGTCGAAAACGCGTTCCGAAAACATGGACCTCAACAGTTGTCATTCCATATAGAGCGGAGGCGTCAGACGATATCAGAAGGGTACTCAATAAGCTTGACATTAGAGTTTTCTTCAAAACATCAGACACACCACGAAACAACCTTGTCCATATAAAAGACCATATCCCGAAGGATTCTCTATCTAATTGTGTCTATAAAATGAAATACTTGGGAGGTGATGAGATACACATCGGACAAACATCACCAGAGAGAAATCAAGGTAGTCAGAACAAATGAACAAGATAGAGCATCTATTTAGCCCCCGAGAAATCCAGTTGAACTAGTAAAGCTTGAAAAATCATCAGCCATAGGT